TATATATATATATATATATATATATATATATATATATATATTATAAAGGGGCACAAGTACCAGTTAAGAAAAATTAAATTGGGGTTTAAAGGTAGTATTTGTGTAACTACAAAGCTGCTCATCGGCCTTTCAAGACCACATTTTTATTTCTTTGGCTAACGCTGCATTCTGTCCAACTTAATTTTATTGACAGCTGGTATGGCATTTGGAAGATAAGTTGATATTAAAGGTAACACTGACTTCTTGTTCAGAGCTTTCATATGTTTGAAGGCACCAACATCTACAAGAACACTAAGTGTTATATAGCTAAAGAATAATAAAAAAAACCAACAAGACAGAATATCTTAGAGTCACAGAATGTTGCAGATATTAGATTGACTAAGAAAAAGAAATGAGAATTTTGGTAATTAAGATAGGTTATGCACATTGTTAATGAAAAGCTGTTCTAAAATGATATAAAGTATTTTTAGTTGCTTTAATTAATTCGTAGATAAACTTCAACTTTATACAGTATTTTTGAATTTCCCAACCAGCTTGTGGTAGAACTCTCATCTAATTTACATTTAGTCCAATATGTATCCGAGTTGTGACCAGACAGAATTAGTCTGAAAATGGTAGGTTTTGCCTTTTAATATTTGAAATAAGTGCTTAAAATACAAAAAAACATTAACCAAAATGGCCATGGAGTTAGCATGCTGGACTATAGAGCTGATGATCATTGGTTCAAGTCTACTGTAAGAGTGATTGAAATCTCACTATTTGATCAGAGTATCCAAAAGTTAATGGTGGTTGCAGCCTTCCCATTTGTGTATATGTTTAAAATTAAGGATGAAGCTTCTACAAATACATAAAACAAACAAATAAAACATAAGGATGTCATTTTGAAAATATCTCTGATTACATCTTTTTAGAAAGTGTGGCTAGTAGGTGATAATTATTATTCTTTTAAAGAGATTTGAGTGGGATTGAAGACCTAAAAGACATCCTAGTTGATTCCTTCAGCTCTCAGAGTGAGGAGGTGAAAACAGCAGCTTCTTTTGCTTTAGGTGAGTGAATGTCTAAAAAATAACCAGAAATTATAATAAGTTTACTGAGTCTCTGTAATGCTTCGAAATGGAGATGGAAATTTAATAATGTTTAATGGTATGGTAATAACATTTATAAGCTGAACTAACCTGGTTAATTTATGTCCTCACAAATAATTGATTGTACTTTTAAACAATGCGCTAGACGTACAAAAACTGAAGATTAGACATTCTCGACCTAAACGACTGTTTGTTTTATAACTACTGAAACCAGTAATTTGTTACATTCAATGGGAGATTTGGTTATTATACAGCCGTAACTTCTTAGGATCACAGAAAAACATCCAGCTGTTATTTATTATGCTGTGTTGCTTTCTGATATGAGAAACTACAATGAATTATTCAACTTTGGTGCAGAGAATGTTGTATAAAACTGAAATAGAAAGTAGTGAAGCAGTTAGAAAGAGGTAAAAAGAAATATGTTGTTATCTCAACATGCATTGAAATGTGTTGTTTTAGGGGCATCATGTGAAGTCAAATCTGGAATATAGCGAATATCTCAGTTTCGGTCTACTGGACGTATTTTTGGGTCACCATTTTAAAATTACAATACAAAATTAGAAATTCAAAATATAGAATTGTTTCTGAAAATAAATGGTTAAAAGGTCTAATCACAAATATTATTAAAAGTTTTTTGATATTCTAGTGATAGTCATTTATAACGTTTCTGTCGAACTCTTTATTTGTTTTATTTCTTAATTGTATTAAATATAATTTTTTTTAGTGTAATATGTAAAAATTGCACTTTATTTAAAAGATGTTAAATTTAATTTCTCTTTCTTTACTATAAATTTTTTCAGAGATAGGAATGAGACCATTTTGAATTATTCAGTAGAAACATTTGTTATTTTTGTGGTTCACTGTTTCTCAAAAAGTCATTATTTACCAGCTGTCACTTGATTATATTATGAAGCATTTATAATCTTAATGCTTTTTATTTTGTGATTGTTGTTTTTTACCAGGTAGTGTCAGTGTAGGAAACCTGCAGGAGTACCTACCATTTGTTTTACAAGAAATTGAAACTCAATCCAGGCGTCAGTACTTGTTGCTACACTCATTAAAAGAAGTAAGACTGTGGTTTTTCTTTTTTTTCTGTCTTTAGGTAAAATGTAATTGGTAAAAATTATATTTTTTTAAAGGCTGGGTGTGGCCAAGTGGTTAGCGTGGCCTTACTGTGGATCTGAAGATTTAGGGTTTGAGGCCTGTTGCTGCAAAAATGTGCTCTCCTCTTTGGAACCATGGATATGCTATAGAAGTGACAATCTGATCTCACTGTTTGGCTAGTCAGGAGTAACCCAAGAGCCAGTGGTACATGCTGTTAGATAATTGTCAATTTTTCAGTATATCAGCTCAAAATTAAGTATGGTTACATGCAGATAGACCATTGTGTATCTTTGTACAATATTCTCAAACAAACTATTTTGCTTATTTCTGTACAATAACATAATTGCAAAGCATTTCTGATAACCCTTGTACAAAAATGTTTTTATACAATGCTATATAAATCAGATATAGATTGGGACAATTGTACCCATGATTACATCAAAATGAATTTTAAGTAATTTTCTTTCTATTTTTATTTTTGCCTCACCTTAAGCTTCATCTTTAAGTACTTAGTTATGATAACCTTTTTTTAGATCATTAGCTGTCAGTCAGCCAGTCCTGCAACAGTTCAAACACTTCAGCCCTTTGTTGATTCTGTATGGTAAGTTTTATTTTACAGTTTATTGAAAAACTGCCATTTATCATTTAAACAAAATTATTGTGTAAGCGAGTTACAGTTGCAATGTGTTTTGACATGTCTGGGAATGAAACAATGCTAAAGTTAAACAATTAAACAATACTAAAGTTACAAATGATTAAACAATGCTAAAGTTACAAATAATGAAACAATGCTAAAGTTACAAATAATTAAACAATGCTAAAGGTACAAATGATTAAACAGTACTAAAGGTACAAATGATTAAACAATGCTTAAGGTACAAATGATTAAACAATGATAAAGTTACAAATAATGAAACAATGCTAAAGTTACAAATAATTAAACAATGCTAAAGTTACAAATAATTAAACAATGCTAAAGTTACAAATAATTAAACAATACTAAAGTTACCAATGTTTAAACAATACTAAAGTTAAGAATAATTAAACAATGCTAAAGTTACAAATAATTAAACAATGCTAATGTTACACTGACTGCTATTTGCCAGCAACCTTCAGACTCAATTTGTTACTTTAGCATTGTTTAATCATTTGTACCTTTAGCATTGTTTAATCATTTGTACCTTTAGCATTGTTTAATCATTTGTACCTTTAGCATTGTTTAATCATTTGTACCTTTAGCATTGTTTAATCATTCGTAACTTTAGCATTGTTTAATTCTTCTGCTCTTTGCATGACTAAATTCTCTGTTTTAAAGAACAATGAAGTTGCAAGAACTTTCATGCCTTTGATTTATGTTAAAAAGAGTCCTTTGTTGTTGCTTTGTGAGAAATACTTTCCTGCTTCATATCTCATGTTTTTTGCTAAGACAAATAACATTCTGAAGTTTTAAAAAGTTCTGTCTGATCTCTCTCTCTCTCTGCAGAATAAAACTATAACAGAAATTTTCAGATTGAGAATTCTTTTTGGTGTGTATTTTATAAACATTTGTTTTTGATAAAGTAATACAACCAAACTCTAAACTGCTAACTTATTTTGACTTCATCTCCTTATTTGTAATTTTTATTTGGGGAGTAGAAATACTTAAACATTCTGCCTGCACAGAGAGAACTTGTCAACACAGAAAAGGAGTTGCAACTCTATAGTCTTTGTACATGTTTTTTTTATTATTATTTCTAGTTCATATGCTTTGAAAATGATGGATTTTTGAAATTGCTGATGTTAGAAACTAAAATTCAATGGAATACATTTTTTGTGTGTTATCTCCAAGCTTTTAAATCTAACAAAATCATAATATGTTGCTAAAAACTTACATATGATGCAATTTAGACATATAATTGTATTGTGTGAAAACAATATTTCTATAGCACTTTATTATTTATATAATTTTTGTGTTTATAAGATGATTTTTGAGAATATATTCTTTGCTTAGTATTTTTTTGTCAATATGCTGTGGTCAAATGAACTTGTGTACATACAAATCTTACTAATTCAATGTTGTTGGAAATCTTTTACACTATATTATCAATTATTTGTGATATTTGTTTTAATTAATACTTCTCATCACTTATACATCTGGAACCTTTTCTAAACAAGTAAAATATTATGTAAAGGGTTAGTAATACAATATCTATATTTTTACCTTCAAAGGAGCATGCTGTTCAAACACTGTGAATGTGAGGAAGAAGGCACACGTAATGTGGTGGCTGAGTGCCTTGGGAAATTGACACTGATTGATCCTCCCATCCTTCTTCCAAAACTGAAGTCCTATTTGAGTTCCTCGTCACAGCTAACCCGTAGTACAGTGGTTACAGCCATGAAATTCACTATATCTGATCAGGTTAGACTCATGTTTAAACTATGGCTAATAGATTCTTGCTACATGATTTAGACCAGTGTTTAAACTATGGCTAATAGATTCTTGCTACATGATTTAGACCAGTGTTTAAACTATGGCTAATAGATTCTTGCTACATGATTTAGACCCGTGTTGAAATTATGGCTAATAGATTCTTGCTACATGATGTAGACCCGTGTTTAAAACTATGGTTAACAGATTCTTGCTACATGATTTAGACCCGTGTTTAAAACTATGGCTAATAGATTCTTGCTACATGATTTAGACCCATGTTTAAAACTATGGTTAATAGAGTCTTGGTACATGATTTTTTGTTAAATTATATTATGCTCCATCATATTGAATTTTCTCTCATTAAGCTAGTTAAACTGATAAAATTTGATTTGTAAAAATTGTAGCATTCTTCTAATTGTGAAGTAAGGTTGGTTATCCAGTGTGACCTACTATATTTTGTATTCTTGTTGGGTATTTTGTCTGACAGATCCACAATAAAAGAAATTAGGCTTGGAATTATATGATAAAGTAGCAGTGTACAAAAGTCCCCTAGATGGCATTGTTTTACTTTCATTGACCAGACTGTACAAACTTATTGAACCCATATTTATTCTTTGAAAAACTAGTAGATGGCATTTTTTTGCCAGACTGTACAAATGTATCGAATCTGTATCTATTATCATTTGCATGACGGTACGAAATTAGTGAATCTATGTTTATTCTCTGAAAAATAGTCTTAGTTACGAGCAACAGGTAAACTTCAAAAAGCTTCTATAACCACTTGGGTGCCAGTGCTGCTAGATTGTACCATCTTATTAAATCTTTATTTTCATTTATTAGATCGTACAAACTTATTGAAATTGTAGTAGGTAAATACACTATGTCATCTTATTATAATAGAGCTTGCGATGTATACATCCAAAACTCGAATCTCGAAAACTACCACACCTATCATCACCAATCATAACTGGGTAATATTTTTATAGCTGAGAAATAAAT